GTAAAAGCAATGTGTATAGCCATAACGAAACTATAAGCTCATATGCTGTCGTTTATTTATATTCGAAAACAAAGCCAGGGGACTGTAAGGGCAATGATGAATGGATCGCCTAACGCGCTGAAATATTTTTCGTATGCCAAATAGCATTGCAGGGTATGATGGAATATGCTGGCATTTGGGTGAATAGGTGATTGTTTTGATTTATGTGGTACTGAGTTTAGTAATGAAGTGGACAAAGATCAGCGATGGAAGATGATGCATAGGTCTATTGTCTTAGGCCGTTATAACTCAAAATGTTTACACTCAGGCTGCAAAAAACATTCAATGCACTGAACACCTACAAGATATCTGTTTGCTGGTCCCCACGCTCATGTGTGTGAAACTCTGGCTAGGCGGAATTACGCTAAATTTTTAAAGCATTCGTGGAAAAAGACATGTTGTGGGCGTATGTTTGCCTGAAATATCTCGGTGACATCATAATTCCTTGGAATATTGGTCCCCTAAGCACTGAAATTTGTGGCACTTGTGTGCCAAGCTATCAGCTCTTGGATTTACAAACCACGTGCTGAAATTGTTCCCATGAGATGACTGCTACGCCATACATATTCTACCCCTATTCTAGTCATATTGACAGAAGCGTGCACTTTGTCTGGCAATCTGGGTCTGCATTAATGACATTGTCTGTTCCATTTAAAATAGTTTGCTCTCACAAAACAATTTTAATACATGTGCAATAAGATAGAACATGTTAGGATTATTTTCCATCATCTATATTTTTAAAGAGCACGATACATTAAATTTCTGCCTATCATATTTCTGAGCACAAGCAATGATGACATTACAATTTCACAATAACGACATGTGTGCTCGGAATACCAAATATATTTCAATGCTAGGATGTAGTTTGCTGTGTCTTGGCTTCCAAAAAGTCAGTTTTTAACACGGTCTAACATGCTTTTAACGTATTTTCCAAGGAGCTATTGTCATCTCACATGCCTGTTTATGATTAAAACCTAGCCACGCACTGGTAGACAGAAAAATATAAAAGATTTAAAAGTTGTGCAGACCCTGGCAATGGGGTGATACCAAAATAAACAATTAGTCCAGCTCATACACTCTAGCACCCGATACCTGATGCGAAAAGCTCATGGTTACGTGGGATACCGACGGCTATGCCTAAATGTCTCGATGACCATAACCGAGCATGTGGTTAGAAGTACACGTCCCAAGAGCCTCAGTGTAGTCTATCGGGCTCCTACATTCCAACACCCGATACCCGGTGCGTGCAAAAGGCTGCCATAGTTGATTAAGCACAAGTCAGTGGTCTCCGTAGATTGCACAGAATTTCGAGAGTACGCACATTACCTTCTTGCAATGAAATCTGCGATTTTCAATTGATAATTGGGGCGTTTTTTTCTTGGCAGGACGACGTGATACGTCATCTAGATGAATTGTGACCCTGAGAGCGGAGGCCAGCGCCGTGATTGCGCCGACACCAGGGCCGTCCGGGGAGGCCACCGAGACGTCAGCTCTTCAGTCCGTCACAGAGAAGGCACGAGACCGAGTCGACGACGACCGTGATGACGATGACTTCGTGGATCTCCTGTTGCGTCAGGCCGTCAGACCTGTCGGCTCCCGCGGTGGTCTACAGCCCCCCCCCCCCCCCCCCGCCTGTGGCTGCCCCAACGCCCGGTGCATGCAATATCCTGTTGGATCTCCTGAGTACGATTCAGGAGTCCGTCCTTCAGGATCTGGACGATCACACCGAGCAAGACCCGACATGAGACAAGACGCTGTCGGCATTCATGATGGACTGGTACGCCGCCACGTCGCCTGTCGTCTGCCAAAGCCAGCTCTACGCGCAGCATCAACTAAGCCGGCGAAAAATGTGGCCGCCATCCCTCTACTCCGACCGGAGAGGTGGAAGAGCTGTCCACGTCGTGGACGGTGGCGAGAGTTCGCCGGTCCTTCTCCGAAGGCCGGAAGGGTGACCACCCGTGCCAGCGCGATCTGGGGCAGCGTCGTGCCGTAGCGCTGCACGGCCTGCAGGACTGCACCGAGCAAAACTGAGCGCTGGGTCGCTGAACATGCCATGTCAAGTTTATATCAAACGGCAAGTTTGGTAGTTACTACGTGCCCGGGTGCCGTTTGGATACCCTTCGCCCGAGTGGGAGGTCATTCAGACCCCCTCTGAAATCTCAGGAACTAAGAAAGCTGGAGACACAAAATTCACAGAGTTTGTTGACCTGTACGTGAAATTCCTTAGGCCAAAGTTTCAGGTTACTAGGTCATCACCTTCAGGTTAAATAAGGTCAAACAAGGTCAAATTCCAGGTTGCTGTCCAAAGTGTCCCCAGAATCTATAAATGTTATCTGATCAAAAGGTCACATACTAGTGAAATGTAAGTGACCTTGTTTGGCCTTTTGAAGGTCATTGTGACCAAATTCATGCTGGACTGTGTTGGGTTGTGCCTTTGAGTAAGCAACAAAGATTACGCTAGGCAGTTTGCTCCTAAAACCGGAATGTTGACCTGGATCATTTTGGGTCATTGACCTTTTCTGACCTTTCAGAGGTCCATGGAAGATGTATAGTGTGGTTCCTGTTGCCAAAAATTGGAAGTGATCGCTAGAAATTATCCATACAGCAAGCCCTAGAGCAATAAAGCAGTTTGGCTTGACCTTGTTCTGACCTTTACACCTGAACCTAGGTCAATGAAATTTGTTAATGCAATTGTTGTGTTGCCTAAGAAAGCATTTCAGAGATGCATGACTCTGTCTAACCCTCCGTTGTTTTGTCAGATTGAACGATTCCCTAGAAATTGACTTGGGGGAATATATGGCCCGACTTTGACCTGTCAAATGTAAGCGACCTTACAAGTTGCAAATGCAATTTTCATACCAAATGTTCCACTATTCAATTGTCTACAGCTATGCAAAATTTGGCGCGGCTACGCCGCGCCATTCCGAAACCATTCCGGAGAAAACCTTCGGGTGGGTCAAATTGGCCCCCCGAGTGCGTGTTAAACAAACAAGCAACGCGAAGTGGAAATGTTCTTATTCAGATCGTTTTTTTCTCATTTCAGTAGTTTGATCATTGCACCTACATCGGGTGACTTCTTGTGGAATTATTCGGGTCTTTCTGTTATAGGTCTGGCCACAGGCTAATGGGCTTCGCCGTGTGAGGCATTTCTAGCTGTTCCAAGTACAGCGTCTGAGATGATGGCATGCATTTAATGTCCATTTGGTTTTGTGGGGAAGTGTGCAAGATATCTGGTGTCTGCATGGTATTGAAGACTAGAGGTGGTGCATACAAAAAGGCTTGTCTTGGAGGACTCAGTCGCTCGCTAAATGCCGCTGCCGGACGCCGGCTCGGCTCCGGCTGCTGCTGTGCTGGGGAGAAGTTCGGTTTGACGTTGCGCAGTCTTTGTCTTGTTTAGAGCCGCGGAGGCGGGGAAGGCCTGGTGCAATGATGTGTGATGATGGTGTTCGATGATGTATTTGATGGTTTGATGATTATGCATTTGCCTGAGGACGGGAAGCTGTACGCCGTGCTTGGTGCAGTCTCCCGTGTCGCTGCATGAATCACTTGTACAACATTGACATGTTGTCTTATTGTCTTTGTGAGAAGTGCTTTGGACGAGATGAATATGTTTGATCTGGACGGAATGTGCTGTGCCTGGTAAGGTATGTTCTGCCGCTCTGAATATACATGCATGACATGTTAAAGCCGATGATCTCGCTCATATCACCGTCCACGATCTGCACGTCTTCGAATGTTTAGTTCACGCGCGCCACTGGACCATCGCAATGAAAAAGAACGTCCGGTAGTGCTCCATCTCATTTAACGGCGAGGTCTAAAATAGTACAGCCGACGGGGTTCCAAGAAATGGGAAGCTATCAGCTGACATAGCGAGGCCTATCTACTCGAGTCCGGATCCCGTGCAGTAGGTATACCTGTGGAATCACGTCGGTCTTTACGCTAGTACCAGCATGAAGTATGTCGGGCATAAAGGGAGTTTGTACAATAAACATGGTTCAGATTCGGTTCCTATGAGAACGGCCATCTAGGCAGGTGTGCAATGGCTAGTAGCTTTTAGAGGGCATAGATTCTCATCAAATAGGTAGTTTTACGAAATCTGTTTGGGGAAGTAGTGAGCGGAATTGATCGACCTGGTGTACCGCGAACATTAATGAAGTAGATGTGCCAAGTGAATGTCCTTGGGCCTAAATCTAAATGTGAAAGTAAAAACGTCAATTTTCGCCTTATGCGGGCCTTGTCGACCTGCCATGTCAAAAAGTAGGGTACTTTTAGGTTACTATGCCTTCATGTTTTCCTTTCGTATCCGAGTGCTGTGCGGCTAAAGGGAGCCAGCAATTTGAAATAAGTCTTAAGATAATGTGGTGCCGTAGCGGTCGTTACGGTGACGGCGATCGCGATGCATATATATATATATATATATATATATATATATATATATATATATATATATATATAACACCCCAGTCATTACTTGGCACCCGGAGGCCAAACTGGCGCTCGAGGGGCAGGGAAGGAGTACAAGCTGATGATCAGCTGACCAACTAGTGGCCCATTATGAATTGGTAATGATATATCATTATATATAGATAATAAAAACATGAATCAGTAAGATAGTGCTGCCACCAGATGGGATGCGCGCGAGGTTCCGCACCGCATACCCCTTCCCCCTCTCCTCCCTCTATTGGAGGCATCCCCGTCCACGAGGCAAAGCATCACCGGAGCGACTCGATCCGACTCGACCCACCACGACTCGACGCATTCCCCCGAGCGCTGCGTAAGTGCCGAGCAGACTGGCGGCGGCGGCGGCACGTGCGCCGACACGTGCGGCGCGGCCCACGTGACCGTCCCGACACGTGAGCGGCCGGCCTCGAGCGGCCGTCGGCGGTGCGCAGCCGCGCGGTCGGCGGCGCTGAGTGGCACCGGGTCGGCTGCGGATCCGGGCGCTGGCGGCCGGCACGGCATTCACTCACCGGTAACCGGCGGCGATCGAGGTAGTGCGCCCATGACCTGGTGGTGTGGTCGACCCGTGCTCGAGACGGGACATGAACTGCGACAGTGGCCACAGCATGGAGCAGGCCGGCCAGGACTCGCCAGCTGCTAGCGTCGTGAGTAGAGCACCGAGTGGCTGGGCACCCACGCATCGCCTGTCGTCTTTGGCTGCCCCTCCCCCCCCCCCCCCCGCCCTGGCCGTAAGACGGGTACCGGCTGGGCATCGACGCGCCGCCTGTCGTCTGTGGCTGCCCCTCCCACCCCTGGCCGTCAGACGGGGGACCGGTTGGGCATAGACGCACCGCCTCTCGTCTGTGGCTGCCCCTCCCACCCCTGGCCCTCAGAGGGGGGACCGGTTGGGCAGAGACGCACTGCCTGTCGTCTGTGGCTGCCCCTCCCACCCCTGGCCCTCAGAGGGGGGACCGGTTGGGCAGAGACGCACTGCCTGTCGTCTGTGGCTGCCCCTCCCACCCCTGGCCGTCAGACGGGGGACCGGTTGGGCATAGACGCACTGCCTGTCGTCTGTGGCTGCCCCTCCCACCCCTGGCCCTCAGACGGGGGACCGGCTGGGCGGCCAGCTGGCGTTCTCAGGTCCTTGACGAGCAGCACCTCCCGGCAGCTGGCTCTCTGCTGTTTGGGGTCCAATTTTCCGGCGTTCGGTGCACGTGGCTGCGTTCTGGAAACCTTAGGTCCGCATTTTTAATGTTTGATACATGTCTTCCGACAGAAGATTAAACCCAGTATCATGCATGGTCACCGAGCTCTGCCCTCCTCATTGAAAAATCATTGCTGCTTCCTTGCCTGCGGAAGATGTAGACCTCGATCTGTATGGTGTACATTGCTTGTGATAAAGACACAACTATTTCCAAGACGACAGCCTGCAAACCGCAGCCTGCCGCGGCCAGCTGAGGATCTAGGTCGCACAAGTCCGCTGTTGCAATGTTGTGTAAATTAAGACTTAGCATGAAATCTGCATCAAGTATTCTTCGGTATCGTCTTATGCACACTTATGCTTGATTCATACAAGCGGTTGGGTTCAGGCACCAGGGATAAGGCACCTGGGCAAGGGAATTTCTTGACACGCGCTCGGGTGAGGGTCAATTTGACTACTCCGCCCCTCCGGGATGTTTTTCCAAAGCTGTTTCCGAACGGCGCGGCATAGCCGCGGCCAAAGCCGGCATAGCTGTAGACAACTGAATCGCAGATCGTTTGGTACATCAAAAATTTTGGTGTACCTCGGTCGCTGACCTACGGCAGGCCAAGGTCAGGCCATGTATTCAGCGGAGACCATTTGAAGGGAATCGGTCAATCTGATGTAGCAGCGGACTGTTAAACTAAGCCATACGTTCCTGAGATACTTTCTTAGGTAACACAGCAATTTAATAAACAAATTCCATTGACCTAAGGTCAGGTACAAATGTCAGACCAAGGTCAAAACCAGCTTTTTTATTTCTCCAGCGCTTGTAGCATGGGCTAGATTCTGGTGGTCATTTCGAATTTATTGACGACAGGAACCGCATTTTACATCTTCCATGGACTTCTTAAAGCTCAGAATAGGCCACTGACATAAAATAGTCCAGGTTAATATCTTGTGTTCAGGAGCATACTGCTCAGCGTAATCTTTGTCGCACATTCAAGTGTAAAACTCAAAGCAGTCTTCTATGATTTTGGTCACTATGACCTTTGAAAGGTCAAGCAAGGTAACTGACTTGAATGCTCATTTAACCTTTTGCTCTGAGCAGGTATGTAGGTTCTGGAGGCACTTCGAAGACCATCATGAAGTGACCTTATTTGACACGACAGTCATGACCTAGTAATCTCAAATGTTGATTTATGTGAGTTGACGTACAGGCAAACACACCCTGTAAATTTGAGGCCTCTAGCTCTCTTAATTCCTGAGATCTCAGTTGGTTCATAATGGCCCCCACCCGAGCGAAGGGTATCCAGCCGGCCACCCGGCCGCGTCTTAACTACCAAATTACATCTTAAACGATGTAATATCGCTTGCCAATTGAATGTGAGAAGAAAGGGGGTAGAATCCCAATCAGACCCCTCAACGCCATGTGTCAAAAATTTCAACCCCGCCTTGCCATATGTCAGCAAACGATAGGTTAGGTCTGCTACTTGCATTGATTGCTGGCTTAATATTAACAAAGAGATAAGAGATGCTGGATGTTTCAAATGGCAGGAAGCCTCCTCAGTTTATTGCACTTCACACGACCACAAATCATACACATAACTGTGAAAGTGGAGGCATTTTTAAGCGACGCTGCCGCTGATATTGAACACCCTCAGTCTGCCTTTTTCACAGAGGGCAAATGCGTCTGACAACGACCACAATGTGACTCAATACCTGAATTTAAGAAAGAGATTCAAACTCTCGCATGCTGTTTGCCTTCCATAAAAACCTGAAGGCCTTTAGGGCTTAGGGTTAATGGATCTTAGGGCTAGGGCTTAGATTAAGGGTGTGCTGTCCTTGAGGACCACTACGCGACAAAAAGAAAGGGTGCCTCAATTCATTTAAGGAAGAAGCGTATTGCAAGTCCCCTCCGCTTAACTGGAACGGACCTGTTGACCTGCTTTGGCTCCGTCCTGGGCGCCACCCTGGCTACGCTACTTCACACTGTTATTGGAATAAACTGTGCTTGTGTATGCACTTCATGCCACGATGCATCCAAACACTGGACATGCGCAGGGTGTCAATGAATCCATTGATCGAAGACGATCGCAACGCCACTAGCTGCGCGCGGTCAATGAGCACGTGAGCCCGACCGGGTTCACGTGCTCATTGACTGCGCGCGATCGACGAATCATGATAAAGGCCGACAGCACTAGGGAAACAAGTGCAGGTCAATACAGCCATGCCTTGTTTGTTTGATGAATTTCGCTGCCTGGCTGTCAGCAGCTTCTGACAGCTGGGAAATGTGTCCCGTGGCAAGGGAAATACTAACTCGAACGCACTAAGGTACGAATGGCCCTGCATGCTTTATTGAAATGTTGTTAAGTACTAGCAGACACTTTATCCAATCACGCTCTGTAAAAACTACTAATAATTCAGCTTTGCAATTCAATTTTGCCAACCAATTGCATTGTGTACCGGTGAGTTGCCATGAGATAGTGATTAAGCTATGCTCAAGAAAGTACCTTGTATTCGTGAAAGAGCTGTCATATTTGATGCTCAAAACAGGCCAGTGTAGTCTATCACAGGCACGCCATAATAAGGTGCGGATAAATCATATAGAAGATTGAGGTCCACTAACTTAATCAGCACCTAAGGACTGACAGCAAGTTGCATTCAGTTGTATACTGATGCCCCATTCCATCGGAAATATGGATGATCTTACACAAGAGATTCCATTATTGATTTACAACACGTATTTATCATTCGTTACAAGTCTTACTTCCGTAATAACAACTAGGTAAAGTAACCGGGCCCAACTTCTTATCCTATGTAGCACAAAACGTGCTTCATCCGACCCTTTTATCCTCTTCTTTGCTTCATCTTGCATCCTCGCGATGCCCCGCTTGTCTGGGGCAGGCTGCAAGCACCAGCCGCAAGTGGGCCGGGAGGCTCCATGGAGGGAGACCCATCCGGGCGCCCAGCGCATGCTCCGGAGTGTCCCTGCTCGAGCTAAGGCATGATGGATGGTTCCTCATGTGCATGTACTCCTGCCGCACCGTTGTTCATGCTCTTTTATCCCATAGCCCCGTAATGATCATTTCTGGTCGAAAGGGCTTCAATCCATTTAACCATACCCATGTTAACATGTTCATGATTGAAGTTTGCACAGCTTGCTCAACATGGAGTAAAAGCCAACTGACTACATTATGCTGAGAAGTCACGCTCTCAGGTGCCAGATCCGAACGGCTGGCCGATAATATTCTTCCTGGCCTTGAACACCGCATGACACATGGGCCCATGGAATGACATGATTTGAATTACATTGAATTACAATTGAATGATTAGTTCCATGCATCGAACGAACGCCTTGCACTGACAAATGCCGGATGTTTCCAGTCATGGTAGGTCTCCTCAGTTCATTGCTCTGTGCATAAGCACAAACACCATTCCAGTGAGTCACGATCGCAACAGTGCCATAACTCGCATTTAAAGACCATAGGCAGCCTTTTATATGGTATTTACTGCCCTAAAGCGGACACATCATGGAACAACGCCAAATAGCACATAGTAGCTTTGAAGTTACCCACGTTTTCCTCTTACCACTATCCATGTCACAACCCGCAACCATTTGCGCGTTGTTTACGTAATCCTGCATGACGAAATGATAACAATAATATGCCGTCCACAAATATCTGCCCTTCCAGTGGCTTTATTGATGCTGAGCAATGCCGCACCGTTGTTGTGGCGTTGCTCACATTGACTTTGTGTGACAGACTGCGGCAAATAGTTATGACAACAACAAAAAAGCAAACGAAGATGATGTTTAGAAATTATTTCTGTATTGGACATAGCCTGGGACCGCAATTGTCTATCCATATCGAATGTTTTGTTGACGTCTGTGTTGAGATGATTTTTTCACACGGAGCTGCACACAGATTCAGGTGTTGGAGGAAATGGACAAATCAGACAAAAGAAAATCATTAATCGGACATATGTCTATAAACAATAATAATGACACCAAGAGCGAACCGTATTATAGGCAAGACCTTGTGGTCGTGGTCACAAACCGCATGTTTTTCAGACTTAAATGGACAAACTCTGTGTCATAACTATTTTTCGTTTCTGCCACTTTTGCGCATTTGATACACCAGAAACTTCGGGCTCTATTATTGACAAGTGAGTGAGGCGAAGGCAAAAAAAAAACTCAATGTTTCCCATGCGTTTCATTGAGCATTGATACTGAATGCGATTTGTGAGGCCTGGTTTGGTGTAAACCAGGAAGTTTGGGTGTACAATAACAATACACCCTAATAACACCCTAACAATAACATCTCAGTTCACTGCGTACCTGTGTTTATATCAAGGGCCCACGTGACTTCCGCTTAATGAAAATGGGCCGTAACTTTGAACAGTTGTGTTGTTGTTCCTCAGTTTCAGTACCATGTCTGCTTAAAACTGTTCAATTTGTGCAACCTTGTTTACTGATGCGTCATT